GGCTAGGAAAAGAGATCTCAGAACTTGCATTTTAAATTACATAAATCCTCATTAAGGGTAAAAGTCCTTGTGGTTTCTCAGATACTGTTTTCCAACAAAAGTAACTTTAATGTCTGGCTTAATAATGTGTTTTTCCCCTTCAGGAAAGAACTATCCGACATGAATTTGGTAACAGCATAATACTACTATCCAGACCTTTTTAACAAGTGTCTTCATAAGACAGGGTTTCATTTTTTTCGTCATCTCCAAACGATGAAGAAACTCTAAACTCTTGACTTGTACTTTAATACTTGCTTTTCATACTTTGGAAGTTCCAGATGTGTAGATCAGCATCCCCAGGGTTCCACTTGCTTCATCTCCCCTGTCTTTGTGATCCATTCAAAAGTGTAAATTGCTGGTATCTGGGTGAGGTTGGTCCCAACTGTCCATGGGATACACAAGATCTGTTCACCTCTAGATTCCTGTTTAAGAAGAGCCGGCTCCTACTTAGCGTGGATGATGGGAGCCTGTGAATGAAAAAGGGAGTGAGTGGATTTGGCCGTATGGGCCCACACTGAGCTAGAGACACGCTAGGGATTACTGTCCAACCCTTGCTGCTTCTGCTGGTCCAGCCGTGCAGCATGGTTTGATGAGGACAAGCTGGACTATTAATTTGTAGTTATGAATTTGTATTTAAAGAGGCTGGTCACAGCCTCCTTGACTTTGGATATTTTACAAGGATGTTTCCTATGTTTGTAACTACAGTTCAGAACAGCTAGTTTAGTAAGGATGGGGAAAGGAGCCTTTTTGCTTCCCACAGGCTACCAACAGGCTCCAGCACACCCTCTGTGCCTTGTTAGGAGTGAGCAGCTAGAGGAGCTGAAATTTAATACATCATACAGTTTCTGATCATTAAGGAAGAAAAAAGTTGGGAGGGATGTTTCTCAACCTAGAACTCACACTGACTACGCCCAAGAAGAAAGGGTACTGCTTCAGTGCAAGTAGTAGTTGACTGGAACCATCAAAATTATTCACAAGTGAATTCAGACTTTTGCATAATTCTCAGGCTTATGCGTGAAAACCAGTATGTTCAAGACTAGCCCATTTCTGCAGGTGGTGTGTTGCGTTGGACAACTCTTCTTGATGTAGATGTGTTTCCAGTCTGACTACATCAGCTAGCTGCCTGTTTGCAGGCATGAAGGGAAGATTGCTTGTCTAGGGAGTACTCAGGTGGAACAGAGTTGCTTTTCTCTATTGCTTTTCCTGTTTTCACATTCATTTCTCTGGTTTGCATAGATTGCTACATTTTGTTCTGCTTTAGATAATACTTTATGTAAATTGTTTCATGGGACAGTTTATATTTAAGCGTTATAGAATTCCCTTCACTATGCTATTACCTGATTAGTAGCTGTGAATGAAGCAAGTGAAAGTTGGTATAGGTGTTTGGGATAGATCCATGGTAAGGCTGAGTGGGAAAATGGAGTGGGAAGCTGGTGGGCATGTGAAGCATCTTCAGCATCTGTAATGGTGGAAAAAAGGTGTTAACATTTTTGAGGAAGGTGAATCCTAGGAGCGTTTACTGCTGCTGGCAAGGAGGGGGAAAGATGTCAGGTACTCTTGAAAATATTACTAGAGACATTAATGCTTCACCAAGCATTTCAAGTGATCAGTTAGAAGTGATAAAGGTGCACATTAGTGTTTTGTGTTCCTTGTACATACAGATTATCCTGGAGAGATCAGTATGCTGTTTGTATGTAAATCATCTGAGTGGAAGAGCAAGAGTGGGACTGCTCTGGAAAAGCCCTAGTGCAGCTGGCCACAGGGGAGACCAGAAGCCTGAGAAAATCTGTAGCTTGTGCTGACGTAAATGCCTGGCTGTTGCTTTTTACTTCTTGGAATGGGCAGGAACAGGGAGAGCTGGGAGAGTTGGCTTTCTGCTTGGAAAGTATCTGTATGTAGTACTGCCACAGCTGATCTGAGCTGTTGAAATGTGTGGTGGGTGCAATATGTGACTGTTCTAAGAAGGCAATTTTTATTCTTGCATGTAGATCTTGCAAATACAGGGATCCTGTAAAACCTTTTGAACAGTGAACAATAGCAAAGATCAGTGCCCATCTACAAAAACACACTTGCATGCAGAAAACGTGTTTACACATGACAAAAGCAAACAGGTATCTAGACTGCAGTGATGTGTCTACCAAAAATGAGGCCATTTTCTGTATCTTGTGTTTTTTTCTCCATCCTTCCTTTCTTTGACAGATCATGAGATACCCATTAGAATGCAATATAAGTGATAAACTGGGCACACTAGATGTTTATGCTGTAAAATAAAGAATTATAGCTTGTGTTTATGTATTACCCTATACTTAAAGGGACTTCAGAAGACGAGAGGGTTTGCTTGACTAACCCTCTGAACTGGAAGGTAGTCATATGATAGCATAGTTAGCTTGAGATAGAAGACAAAGTTCATGGATCCTTCGTGTTGGCAAGCTATACCTTCCAATCAACAGAAAGGGCAGAAGAGCAGCTTTTAAGTACTTTTCTACTTTTGACAAATAAGGAACTGAAGAAGTAACATCAAGTCTAAGGAGAAATGGCCATCTTGCAGAGGAGGATCGTTTAGCCCAGAGCAAGCAGTGCAAAGGCTGTATGTTATGCTTTCTTAAGTGGCTTTGCTAGGCCGTGCCAGCAACACCTCCTGCAGCTGCAGCCCCTGGGGTACTGTCATTCCCACCTCTGCTTTGCTTCTTCTGTAGTGCCAATCAAAAAACTGTTTCTGGTTTCAAGTAATTCTTTTGGGCAAGAACTATTTTTAATTGATAAGTATCAGTGATCCAACCAAGAGTCAAGTGAATGGTAGTGCTGGCATGACGAGGAGTGGGTAGTGGCTGAGGAAGGATACCGCTTAAGAAAGCACTGTTGCAGCGGAAAAGGTATGTGGAAGGGCATGTTGAATACTGTTAATAATACCTTCTCTTTAAGGGTTTAATAATTGTCTCTTACCTTTTTGAAAATTGCTAATTACAGTTTGTTGATTATATATATAGTAGCTACAAGTGGAACCAAAAAAACCTTTGAGCATGACAAGTATAACTTGTCCAAATGCAACTGAAATTGATAGGAAGACTTGTTTGATTGAACAGAATTGCCCAGACATTCAGAATTTTCAACCCTAAGTTCAGTAGGATGCTGAAAGTTGAACTTTCCCCTGCGGTTGAACTGCATCTCTGATGTTATATCATAGATTTAAGATGTCTTTTATGTTTTAGGAAGATCTGAATTTGACATGCCTTATAAAAGCTATGTACTTATTTTGTATTCAGGCTTATGTGTTTGTAAAAAAAAAAAAGGAAAAGAAAGCCTACAGTTTAGACCATAAAGGTCTCCTAATGGCATTATATTGAGTACTGAAAATTGCCATCATTTTAACCGTGCCTCTTTTCGGTTTAAGGTACTGTTTGATCTCAAGCACTGATTTCATTGTGATTCAAGTGAAAGGTCTGATTCCTGAACTGTAGTAAAACAAAAAGTCCCATTGTTATCTAGCTGTACTGACTGAATTTAGAACATACTTTTAAATTGTTGATATCTGTATGCATGCTCTGTATGTTCTTGAATCAGAAATCAGAGCCATAGATGTCAGTGGTTTAGTCTGCAAGAATCCTATAAGGTTAAGAAGATAAGGGAGAGTATTTTGAAAGTGCTTATTGATTTGAAATTACAAAATCATCTTAAAAACTACTTTGCTTCAGTGTTATTGTCATTGGCAGTACAGCTCAGTTTGTCAAATTACTGCTGCTGCAGAGACTGCCAAGTAAGTGTCTTCTTCCTGGCATGGTGGTTCTTTCTCCATCCGCTCCGTTTTGCAATGCTTCACTTGAATTTCAAATTTTATCTTTAAAAGAAACTATTTGCAAAAAAATGGAAAATATTCAGATAAATCAGGAGGTGGTTTTTGTATATAATACAATGTTCTAACTTTTATCCACTGATCTTGTCCCTCCTCTATTCTAACACTGCAGCCTTTTTTTCCCTGAGATCTCTTAATTACCATATTCTGGGTGAAGTCATGCACTGTAACTGCTATAGCATGAAGTATTCCTAGGCTGATGGCTGGCTGGCTTTAATGATCTTGATTCTTGCCCGTGGGAAAAGTCAGAAATGATGCAGGTATAATTTAGATAACTCTGGGATGAACTACCTAAATTGAAAACCTTATCCTCCGCTGCCTTTGGCAAGAATCTCTCCGTCGCATTAGTCATTTTTCTTGCCTTAAAGGCCTGCGGTAGAGGGTTCCTCTGAGTTCTTAGAAGAAAGTCCCATCCTGGAGTTGATGTGGTAATGCCCTTTAAAACTGCTCCTTTTTTCCTTGGCTCATGGGCTAGAAGTGTTGCTCTGTATTACACTCTTTAATGTGTTGCAAAAATCTAGAATAATAAAATATGAAAATAGGCAAAAAAGAAGAAAATTCTTGGGAGACCACAGGAAATTTTTCTCATGAGATGCAATGTAGTGCTACTCAGTTGTAAAGTTAGATCATATTGCAACATTTATTAATTGGGTCATATATCTGATGCCAAGTTGCGGATCATGGGTATTTGATAAAGTGATAACAGACCTTGAAAACCGAGTTTTTATGTTTAAGACCAATATACGTCTTACATATGTTTGACAATCGGAAACAAGTTGTTGCAATTTAGTAGTTTTAAGCACACTTTGATTAGGAAGATATTTTGCTTTTTATTATTTTCAGTATGGATTAGCTTAATTTTTAAGTCTTCATAGACCAGTTCTTGTAATTCAGCACTTCTACTGCAAGTCAGAGTTGAAATCTGTGCAACCATTTTCTCCTATAGTCAAAAAAGAGCACACTGAATTTTTTAATGTTACAACAAATATTACACAGTAGGACTCTTCAGTCAGTCTGGGTTGTGGATTCATGAAAATAAAAGGAAGGATTCATTAGGCTATCTGTCAGAACTGTAAAATGAAATTCAGTTATGGTCTATGTTTCTCTTTAGATCTCATAAATGGAGCCCAAGAACAGTGTGAATTGCCTCCTATGGATGGTTTTCCTCACTGTGAAGGGAAAATAAAGGTAACTGAACTGTTTTTAATCTTATTATTTGTGTTCTGTTAAAAACTGAATGTATGTTGCAAGAGGTCACTACTCAGACAATGGTGTAAAACAAGAACAACTGGGTCAAAAAAGAAAAGAGGATGTTTAGGAGTGTGTGTCACTAGAGCACTGCTCACCTCAAGCCTTTAATGCTACTGCTGCAGAAGTAAAGTGGCATCCTGTTAAGACAGGCATAAAATGCCATATTATATTACAATGCTATAGTATTTAATAAAATGCCATATTATTTGAATGCTGTCTTGTTATTCAGAAGCTTTCTTCTCCTTTTTGAAAAGCCCAGTTTTCTTCCCCATGATAAGTCATTTGGCGTTCCCCTACCCCAGGACTGGGATTCTGTCTGTACCCCACTCCAGTCCTTTCTCTGTTTCAGCAAGACATTTATTTACACTTCTTTCCCCTCTTTGCCAACCGCTCTGTCCGGTTCCTCCCTTCCCCTTTTCTGTTAAAAACATTCTGCCTCTTCTGCTCACAAGCTAGGCACTGCACTAAGTGTGCAACCAGAACTTTGGGGTTCACAGTTGATTCTACAGAAATTCTATATTTTACTGATAATGCAGTTGGAAAGGCCAAATATTGAAAGCCATCAGACTTTGGTTGGAAAGGAAAAAAAAAAACCACCCCAAAAACCAAAACTTGCAGAGATGCAGGGTTTGGGGTTTTTTCCCCAGGATACATTTCAAATGTAGTAGTGGGGGGACAAAAGTAAAATTGCTGGACGCTTAAATATCATTATCAAGTCTTACAATTTATTTCTGAAAGTGAAAACAAATAAGTACCAAAGTATGTGTGAAATTGTGTTGCCTTTTTTCGCTAAATAAAATTCTTAGACAGTAGTATTTAAAAAAACCCGAAACCTGTGTTAAATCTCTGGTCTGTGTTTTGGTCCATTTTGACAAACTGGCTGCATAGTGGCTATGTAATACATTATTTGAATATTAAAATATGGATTTAAATGAATTGCTTCTGCAGAAATGGCAGATTCTTGGCAGAATTGGGCAGATTTCAGTCTTGGTAGCTGAAATGATCTGTTAAATTCCAGAGCAAGTGTAACCCGGGGGGGGGAAGCAATGTAGTCAACTTCAGCCACACCCATATGTCTGGATCCTGATTATATCTCTTGGTATTTGCCTCTGCTTGCCTGGCTACCAGTTTGTATAAACTGTGCTCACGTCTGTTATGTAGTTACTTCCCCGATGTAGCTGAATGCAGAGATGCATTATGCTGCAAAATATTCATGAAATTCCTTTTTTGTTATTTGTGATTTTATCTGGTTGGATATAGTCGCTTGCAGCTTTCCCCTGTTATTTCTGAGTTCAGTGTGAAATAGTATAGAGTTATTAGGTAGTACTTAAACCTAACACTATGTTTTTGTTCTGTTACAGTGGATGAAAGATATGTGGCGATCAGATCCCTGTTATGCAAGTTATGGTGTAGATGGGTCCACATGCTCCTTTTTTATTTACCTCAGTGAGGTCAGTAATCTTTTAATCTGCAGAAGGGGAACATCACAGTGCCTTGGTATTTTTGGTAACTGTTGGCAAACTTTTCTCAAAAGAAATCGTAACTTCAGAAAAATTCTATAAAGAGGAAAAAGCTATTAAAACAGGATTATTATGAAGTGTGTTGCTATTATTCATAAGTCCTCCAGGTGTTTCTAGTCTGGAGAGTTCTAATGTTTATAACTGAAGTGATGTAAACAGCAACTGTCCAGGGAGTGCATACTAGGTATCCTGTTTAACTGAGGTATTAATTCAGTCGTAGATCCTTGCCTCTGAACGCTTTTTCTGTTGCTTTCTATGTAGCTCCTGAGGTATTAATAGGGAGGCATTTGGGATGTAAAATTTGGAACGTGGAACTAGGTGGTACATCCTCCTAAGAAGCACGGCCACTTCCTGCTTGGATACTGTTCATGAATTGCGGAGTCTGTTAACAGAAAACAAACCTGAAAGTCACGTTTTTGAGTGAAGTTGCAGATACATTGGCACTTGACCTCTTCTTTCTTATTTGTAAAATTTTGATAACTTACAGCAACTGATCTTGGAAGTAGCATTGATATCTAGAGACTTACTGCTTGTAAAGAAGTGCGAGAGCCAATGTGGTTGCAGAATTGCAAACTAATATTAATTGTGTAGTCTCTGCAGGATTTGGGGGGAGGGGCTGGGTTTTTAAATTATGTATCTGAGATTAAAACAGTAAGTATTACATAAGTAACTCGGTCGTAATGAAATCAGTTTCTGTTAATTTACTCAGTTGACTGTCATTGAACTTTTTGAGGCATTGCTTTAAGCAGCAGTAATAGTTAAATGCATACCCAAAACATGTATCTGAAGAAATAAAAGAGGCTGGGTTGAATCACAGATTTGACTCATTCCATTGCTATTACCAAGTGTTGATTTATTTATGGGCTGTAAAGCTGGGGAAGGAAAAGATACAGGATGACTATATTATTTAACCTGTTATTTCTCATAGAAGCTAGAGATACGGTTTCATAATCATCTGAAGTTGATCTAAGTTTCTACTAAAAGGTTATGTTTTAGCATCAGCGGAGTTACGTTTGCGCAGTAGTATTCTGTCAACCAGCTGGTGCTTCATGTTTTTAATGCAGATGTATCTTAAAGATGAGGGTACATGTCAATTGAGTCAACTGAAAATCTAACATTCTTGAATGACATTTATTATTTTGTATTTCTGTTAAATCACAGTATTTTCTGTGACAATCTTCTCTGATCATCAGTTTTGGAAACTCAGTTGATGCTGTTAGTTTTTTCATAATTGATCTTTCAGCTCATCCTCATGGCAAAATGCAAGCAGATTTACAGAGGCCAAGTGCTTGTTTTCTCAAGGGTCTAGGGATTTGAAATTTTTCTTTAAGCAGCAATATTGAATTTGGGCAACTTCTCATTTCAAAGTGGCAAACAGTACAATTAGTCTGTGTGTATATCTGGGAACTTCAGACAAAGGTCTTGTACTTTTTTTTTTAAAGTGTTCTCCCATGACAGAATGTAAAACTAATACTGGGTGAGCATGTTGTTAACACTGAGTTTAAATTTGGCGTTCTTAATCCTATGATTAATTCCATGATTAATGCCCAGCAGCAGAGGTTGAAAGCTTAAATGTTTGCGAATGCAAGCATGAAATGAAATTCTAATAACACTACAATGATGTGGATTTATGAGGTGTGTTGGCTGCTAAGGATAACTTGGAAATGCTGTTGCAAAAGTAATTTGTCAAAGTGGACAGTGATGAAGAGTTGACAGTTTATAGTATGGTTGCACAGCTGAATGATAAATGTGTCTACAGAGCTCTCGAGTCAAAATCACTGATTTAAAATACTAAAATGCATTAGGGTACTTGGAAGGTTATTACTGTTAAGATTTTTCTTTTTTATTTTAAGGTTACAGTATAGGAATAAGATGGTTGTGTACATATCCTCTGCTTGAAAAGGCAATATATGCATCAAATTATTCATAATCTCAGTTTGAACATGACAGAATATGCATCAAATTGTGCATATGTCTACTTCTGCTCTTAAAATCACCTCTACAATCTGGTGTGATAAGCGCCTGTGCTCTTTCATACTCTTTTGGGATCTACTTTTTTCTTCTGAAGCAGCTCAGTTAGGGTATTATGTTACACTCATCTAGCACTCTTTGTAATACAATTTTAAACCTGTAAACAGAGGAGCCCAAAATATTACATTTTGGTGTGTGATATGGGTCAGAACCAAAGAGACACAAAGTAGCTTGCCCACAGTTTATGCAAAGGTTTAGAAACAAAGCTTGGAATAAAACCCAGGCTTTGGGTATCTGTCATGTGCCCTTGTTATGTTTCCACAATGTGTGTCTGCAAAATTGAAACAGTGCAGTCAAAATCCAGGCTGCCCCAAGTCTTCTCTTCTGAAGAGGTTGCACAAGTGCGAGTATTAGCAGGTCTGCCTTCTCTGGCTTGCTTTGGATGGCACTCCTGCAGGAACGTAAGAACAGCTAGCTGAACAGCTCTTTTCTTGTTGTCTTGGCTGCTTGAGCAGAATGGGAGGTGAGTGTGGCAGCAGAAGGAAAGCAAGAAGCAATCCAGCACTCAGGCTTATATTTTTTTATTTAAAGCTGTTCCCTGTACAGACTTGCAGATAAAGCTGCAAGAATTTTTGCACTTCTATCTTGATGTTTTGCTGCAGGCACTGTATCACTCTTGGTGGATGATGTGCCACTGTGCGGTCCTTATAACGCTAATTGTGCTGGAGCCTTTGAAGACTGGAGGAGACACAAATGGCCTGAACAGCAAAACCAGACTTACATTCTCTTGAATAACAGAGCAAGACAGGGATTAGAAGTAGCAAAAACTGAAAAGCAAGTTAAGCTAACTCTAACGTTTCTGGATAGTTGGGACTTGTTTCCTTTTAACTGTGATACAAACTTGTCCATTGAGAAGAGCTACTTCCTTTTAAACTTAGCATTTAGTTATGAAAAAGCCAGTTGTTTAACACTGTAATGTCACTGGCACAGTTGTAACTTTCACGGATGGCATTGCCTCTGGGGAGAAATGTGAAAAAATGAATTTCTAGACAGTACAAAAATATATTTCACTGCAAAATGTCAGTTTGCAGCTGAAGAATGAAGCTTTTAAAAATATCTTCTAGAAAATGAATTTTTCATACAGTTTCCCAGCTTAACCAAAAAAAAAAGTGGAGGGGTCTTATCTTTCCTTTTCTTTATCTAGATACATGCTTTCTCTGAAATAACTGCTTGCCACACAGGAGTGGGACTGTTGCTGTGCTTGCTGGTCAGCCAGCAGCTGTGATGCAAGTTACCACTGCCCAGGGGTCGCTACATAGACATTTACCTGCTGGAGCTGGGCAGATTTCATTAAAATCCCAGGCTTTGGATGTCCAGCTCGCCTTTCAGGTGCAAGCGTGATGTTTGGTACCCATCTTGGAAGTGGATCCAGCACTTCAAAAGACTGAAACCATTTCAAAGACCAGTCTTTAAGACTCTTGCCCATTTGCTAGTATACCACTGGAGAGAATTTTTGTTTTCAGTTCTTCAGGCTTGATGGAAACAGAATGCATGGTTTGGTTGCAGTAGTATTTTTCTTTACACTGTTACTTTTGCTTTGAGAGATGCAGCAGAAAAATACAAACTGAAGGTGATTTTGAATGTGGGTTTGTTTCCAGAATACAAGCTGTAGTCTGAGGCACATTTTAGTGAAAACACCTGGGAATCGTAATTATACAGGTTCCCCAAATTCTTGTGGTTTTGCTGGTTTACTGCAGTTTGCTAGTGTCTGTGTGGAAGTCCCCCTTTCCACAACTTCCACTGCATGTGTAATCTAATTTCTGACATTGAGGTGAGTTAATGATTTGCATTTCTTCATTGTAATTTAACATCAAAGCAACTTCTTTGAATTCTACACAATTACTCAGAAAATTGACAAAAATAGTATTGATGTCTGAAATGTAAAGCAGCAAAAGCTTGAACTTCTTTAGTCGTCTTACATGCGTCCCTAAGAAATTGAAATGCTAATGACAGTCAGTACTTCATCCATTAGTGTATTGGCCTGGATTTGGGTGATTGGGGGTCAGTTATCTTTCCTACCTCAGTCATTTTAAACTGGGATTAGTATTTTTCTGTCTTGTTGGAAAAAGTGCAGATGCTAATGCAGGAGAGGAATCAAATCCAGTGCACATTACGGAAGTTAGATAAGAGACCATTTGTTGATTGATGGTTGTGTATAAAATTTTGCGGTGCAGTGTCACTGGGACTGTGAGTACCTAACACCCAATGTTTGGGATTGCCTTTGGAAACAAACAAATCCAAAGTTACCTGTACACTCCTCCATTTCACTAAACAGGAGGGCAGTCATCTTGCACACTGCAGATTTTGTAGCACCTTCAAAATGGCTACCCGTCAGTGAGGAAATGCTAAACAAAAGATAGGTATTACAGCTTCTAGAGGAGTTGAGAAAGTCGCCTTCCCAATGGGAGCAGTTCGTTTGCAACAAATTCTTGAATGGATTTTCTAAGTGAACATTATGAGTTCTCTTCTCTGTCTGCTTTCATACTGCCTAATAAATTTAAAGATGCACCTTCTTTCAGCAGACACTGCAGCACTGTTGTTTTTTTTTTTATTTCCCACTTTGGAACTGACATAAGATACTTAATAGCAACACTTCACTGTGGATAGAATTACACTGAGCAATAACGCTGTTCACCTGATGTGCAAAGAAAGTTGCTTTACTATTTCCCTGTATAGATGGGCTGCACCTGCCCTTCGGAAGAGTCCAAAATGAAGATTATCCCAGGTGTTTAGAGAGAGTACCCTTCAGCTTCTGCTTTATTAAACTCCCATTATGACTCTTTAAAAGCATAAAGGACTTCCTGAAATTTTGGATGTGGAGAGCTGCTGGCAGAGTATACTTTCATTCAGTTTGGAAGAGGCTCAGACTACCTGAGTGCTACAGATGTTTGCCAGGTTCT